TGCGCGGCACTCGGTTACGAAACCATGACGGCCTGTACCGGAGACACCACGGGCATACGACGATCTTGACCCACGAAAACACGTTATCTGCCACCGGATCAGGGAGGTACCTATCCTTGATCGCAAGTGACCAAGGACAAGGGCGTACTGAAGATCCCGATTCTTATCCGGTACACGGGCCGCCAACGTCTTCAGGAATCTGCTGCACTCCGGCGCACTCTGACCATTCGTTGCCAAAACCAGATGGGTGAATGACCCGCGATCCACCTGGTTAATCCGGTCTGCATACTGCCGCTTCTTCTGGCGCTCATGCTGGGACAACTGACCCGCCACTTCCGGTCCAGACAGCAAAGACGGTCTTGGGTGAGACACCCCCACATCAAAAGGCGTTTTGCTGCCTGGTCCAGAAGCCACGAGCCCGTATGTCCACACGAGCGCCATCAGCTGAATTGCCTCGCTCTGGAGTTGCATCAGCGGTGGCTCGATCGCCACATCACAAACGACGCTGCCGAGGGCGTCCGCAAGGAGATCCCTCAACTCGTTGTGGCGCTGCGTCCGGTAGCCTCCACTGGGGCAAGTGAGTGCGCGATGGCTTGATATCTCCTTTCCACACACACAGGACGATGCAACCCCATCCAGCGATAAATCATACCGCAGACAAAGTGCATCCCTGAAGTCAGATTTATTAAATACTGACCCAGGTATGTGCATGGAAGGGGGAGTGCCAAGCCAAGTGGATACACCACCCTCACCTGCCACATCCACAAGGAGGCGCTGCTGATCCGACAGATCAGGCTTGATCTCAGCCAAGATGTCCAGCTGCTGAGACCAGCGTCTGCTGAGACCAGCGTCACCCACGAGCCTGAACTGCCAATGCCTTGCTGGTTGAAATTCCGTCGGCGACTCGACGCTCGCCCAGACCGACCACCACACACGTCACCATAGGGTCTATCGCATCGCAACAGAGCAGACGCTCAGCCTCGGCACGCACACTCCCGATTCGCATAGCGAGACCGCCGTTTCGTAGGGCACAGATAGTAGCTGACGAAGCGCACCGTCAGGCCTGAACGTGTGGCCAGTCAGCGCCGGCAGCAGATCGTCATTGATGGCCTGGTCCAGAGGTGAGTACACGGCTGGGTTGGCAGGGACCACACGCTGTAAGAAGGTCCACCGGGATTGCAGAGACGCAACAAAAAGGCGATAAGCCGCCTGCGGTCGCGTCACAGCCAAGCCAGCAAGGCGCTTCACCAACCGACACATGCCCGCAACCCGATCCAATACAAAGTCATTCTGAAACTGTTGGCTGCCAATGGCTCCACCCAGATACCGCATACCATAAGTCTGGATTCTGACACCCGTGCCAGCGAAAGCCTCCTGTACCTCAGCCAGAAGATGCGGTTGGACAAGCAGCACAGTTTTCTTGGCATTGGGGTAGTACCCGTACTGAGGGCCGGCCTCCCCAATGGCAGACCAATACCGACGCAGTGGTTGTATCTTGTCGGCAGCCGCATCATCATCTGCGTACCAGATTTGAGCTGTTGACTCCGATGCTGAACCAAGCTCTGCAGCAAGAGGAACGGTAGCCAATGCGTAAAACGCCATTGCCAGAGGGTCCCCCTGGCAAGTTCCCTCGCGCGAATACAATACCTCTCCGCCATCGAGGTAAAGTGGTATATCGGCCTGGTATATATTTACAAACACTCGACCAGCTGCAGGGCAAACCTTTGGTATGTTGTTGATTGCTGCTGCACGATTCAACTCATTAAACGCATTTGAAGCGTCAGCGAGGAGAATGGCAGTGTCTTCATCTTGCTCGTACAAGCCAGTGAGGGCTTGGACAGCAACCTCACAGGCGGAGGGGACGCCGACACACAGCTGCCGTGGGACAGTGACGGCCGCAACGTCACGCTCGATCACGGCCATGATCACCTTCCCGACCACTCTCCGGAAAACCTCACCGATCGCTATCGGTCTTACGCCAGGTTGCTTGTCAAGCGGTATTAGTCGACCGGCGAGGAATGCTCGGAGATGAGATGGATCATTCTCCTCCACGCACAAACTCCTGGCCATGTGGGCAAGGGATTCAGGTCTTCTTCTCTCCACTCCATTATTTTTTCGATATTCACTCGGTACGCGGTCGACGTGATGGTAGTGTAACTCGTATACTCTCAGCACTCAAAGCACAATCATACTTGTTGTTACGTAAGTAGTTATCATTCGTTCATTGTCTCACAAGGAGAAGAAGAAGACAAGGCAGTGCGAGTATGCGCACAGCCTATCCATGCATTCCTACGGTGTACTATTTATGTGTATACAAATTACGTGTCATAAAGTAGCCATGCTACAGTAGTAGCTATGATGGATTCCTCCCGATCCTCATCGCGGCTAAAATTTGTTTGGTGTTAGTCTAATTTCTCAAACTGACAGGGTTTACAAGAGAAATGTACCTAATTTTGTGCAAATAAATCGGAATATGTCCGACTTCATAAATCCGTGCGGTAAACCGCATAAAAGGACGCCATGTCATTAGTTGGTGCACATGAAGTCACCGTGGTCACTCCCTTGTGACAGGGAGTCAGAGTCAGGGTAAGAGAGTTAATGCTGGTGAGCCAAATGCCAGCTGAGATCTCATGGAAGCCGAAAAAGTTTGTTGCAGAGTCGGCAGTTATACTCGAAGGTTTCCCTCTGTTTATAAGTAGGGTGACTGCCACGGCTGCATTTGTGCCGCTTGAAACCGGATGGCGAAAACTGGCGTTGGCCGTGACATTGAGCATTGGCGTTTGCCACTGTCCAGGAGAATCGACTCTCGACTAGACAAGGGCGGGCAAGCTTGGGTGCTGATCGTACTGCAGGTGCACTTGTGGACAGTACGGCCTCCAGCGCTGGCAAACCATCTGCTGCAGATATCGCATTGGCGTGCACCACGCTGACACCACGCTGGAGATGGATAGGCATCCTCATCATGTCTATGGTAACCTTTTCCCGTGCCCCCCCCCCCCCCACACACACACATACACACACATTTACATAATATCGCGGTGTAGACCCTGGCTAACAACAGCCGCTACTAAGGTAAAGTCTTTTGCACAGCTAAACATATACACAAAAAAATCATGACAAATGAGATTGTGATCTAGTAAAGGCCGTTGGAACTGAAAACTAATACGGACTGCTTGCTCTCCATGAGAAAAGAGATATTCGTGCTTCAGACAGTGCAAAAAGCAATCAGTGGAACCAACATGAGAAGGGAGAATTACTTCAATATATCAGAATACATTATACCAAGAGTATATAACCCCCCAAGAGTGTGCAGCTCTGCATGTGGGGTCTCCGACGGCGAAAACTCACATTACGTGTCTCAGATATGTTCGTACTGCGTACATTGCGTGCGCGCAATCCGAATATTTGCAATGATCATGCTGGGGATATGCATACCCGCAGTGAGTTTCTGTCAGAGATGCTTTTTTTATTACTCCGCTGCTCCCTAAAAACGGGCTGGAAACGTACAACTGTGACACTGCACCACGTGATGTGAGTTTTTGCCGTCAGCATACCCCATAGAAAGGGTATCAGGAGTTGCACACTCTGGGGGGGGGCTATATACTCTTGATTGTACATATCACCCTGTTGATCCCCTATTTGTGCCAGTAGAAAACAAGTGGAAAGGGTACGACTGGTTCTTGCCAGCTTCATATCTGTTAGGTACCTCCTCCCGTACCTTTTCTAGCTGGCCTGCATGCACTTGCGTACTCACCTTTTGTCTCCTTTTGTTCCGTTGGCCTGGGTAGCTACTTGCGTGCCCATATTTGCCATAGCTACCCAGGCCCTTTATCTTGCCGTTCAGACTTGATCTCTTCTCACTCTTCAATGTAGTCGTTTCGTTCGTCTTGGTCTCTTGTCTCGTCGTCTATAATAAATGTCGTTCCCCCAACCTACCTGTTCCCGTTGTAATGTCTGGATAATGTGTCGTCAGTCGTCCTGTTTCGAACTCAACATTGGCGCCCGATTATTGATCGACCCACGACCCTGAGATCATCCCATGCCCAGCCGTCCTCAACCACCATTCGTCTCGTCTATGTCAACCTCGTCTCGTCCATGTCAGTCTCGTCTCTCCTACGCCAACCTCGTCTCGTCTCTCCTACGCCAACCTTACCTCGTCTATTCTCGTTCAAGCCATGCAGGTCAGCTACCTTTCTCTCTTTCTTTTTTTTGTATGCTTCTTCGTCAAATTTATTTTCGTGAATTTCTTTTGTAGTGTGTGTGCGCGCGTGTGTTCGTAAAACATAACCAAGTTAGGGGTCCGATCATGGTGTGCCACGCTCTAATTTTTGGATGTTTAGCAAAAGTGTAACTAGGCTGTATTAGCCGCGCACGTTCCTCGTCAAACTCCAATAGTTATTACACACTATAAGTAGTACAGGAATGATCTGTAGTGCATTTCTAGTAAACACTTTCGTGAGATCCGTGCGCGCGTGCAATATGTGTGTGTGTGTGTGTGTGTGTGTGTGTGTGTGTGTGTGTGTGTGTGTGTGTGTGTGTTTTCTCCTCCAGTCATTTTTTAAAATCTTTTTCTTTCTTTTTTTTCTCTCCGCGAGGACGCGGGATTTTTTTCATGGAGGGGTGGTATGTTAGGTACCTCCTCCCGTACCTTTTCTAGCTGGCCTGCATGCACCTGCGTACTCACCTTTTGTCTCCTTTTGTTCCGTTGGTCTGGGTAGCTACTTGCGCGCCCATATTTGCCATAGCTACCCAGGCCCTTTATCTTGCCGTTCAGACTTGATCTCTTCCTCTCTTTTCTCACTCTTCAATGTAGTCGTTTCGTTCGTCTTGGTCTCTTGTCTCGTCGTCTATAATAAATGTCGTTCCCCCAACCTACCTGTTCCCGTTGTAATGTCTGGATAATGTGTCGTCAGTCGTCCTGTTTCGAACTCAACATATCTATGAATATTATTCCACTGAGACACTGCAAACACATTTGCAATGGTTCACTTCATGCACAGGTACATTCAAGGAGACACATTCACCAAAGATCATCGACTCTGTAGAGCAAGGCTGCCCTTGAACTATGCGAACAAAACCATTGGAAATGATCCTATGAAGAATTACGTAAATGGTAAGTCTTGCAGTCCTGCGAAGGATCCCGATTTTTCCGGGAGTATCTCGCAATTTTGGATGAACTCCCGAGGTCCCGAAACTTCTGTCGATTATCCCGAAAATCACTGTCACAAGAAACATGCCTTGATATTGTTCTTGGAGCCCTTCAAGTTACTTGTAAAGCTGTCCTCGTTTATTCTGTACCGCCTTAGCTGTAGTATCAGTGCATTCTCTCCCCTTCCGTGAACAGTCCCCGAACAACCTCTTTTGAGTCTTGAACTTTTGTAAAATGCTATGTATATCAGCACCCGATCATCTACAATTCATATCAAAAATGTAACAAACGTTGGTTCAATCATATAAAGAAAGGTTGAAAAAGGAACTTTGGAAAAAAATGGCATACCTGTATCCCAAAAACCCAAGGGAAATCCCAGGATTTTGCTACGGTGATCCATAAAAAGCACTCTCAGTATTTGGCAGGTATTGTCTTGTAGTAATCAATGTCCCTATTTAAATGCTATGAACTAGGTTTGAATGGACTCAGGCCTCGTTTACACGACAACGATTGAAAAACGTTTTCATTCCGTGTTTGAAACGTTTTTGCTGTGCACACGAGAACGATTGAAAAACGGTAAGCGTTTTTAGGTGTTTACACGGCACCGCGTTTTTCGGCGTTTTTCGGCGCGCAATGGTCACGTGCAACAAGTTGGCCTGGCGACGGCAGCGGGAATGTTTAGAAGTAAAGCGGGAAACTGGTGATGCGGTGGAAACTGGGTAAAGGTTGGTTCCATTCTGCAGCTTGCCTTCTTGTGTGTCTTCCGGATCTTCAAGTCGATTTTTTCGTGCTATCTTTTCCTCGTCATTCGCTTTCTCATCGCCATCATGCCAAGAGCACCAGCAGTAGGAGAAGCATTCCAGTGGACGGATGATGAGGTGTGTTTGCTTCTTTCTGTTGCAATTGAGTACAAGACACAACGGACCATGGAGAGTGTTGACTGGGAGAGCGTTCGGACAAAGTATGCAGACATTCTGGCCCTGCTCAAGGAGAAGCTGCCGGAGACTGCGGAGGAAGCGCGGAATAGACCGGACATGAAAGATCTGCCTCATACACGGTAAGAGCTTCATCCCCCCCCCCCTCTCTCTCCTTGCAATGCCTCTGTTCAATAAATATTATGTTTTGTTTTGTTTGTGAGCACAATGAAAATTTGCAGTACAAAAACCATGGTATTCTTTGCAGTATACAATGTACATGACTGTACATGTACATGTATAGCAAGGTGCACTAGTAGTTATGCATGCTTGAATAAAACATAGAAGACATTCGCACTGCAAAATAACTTGCTTTGGTTTTTCAGCTTATTTCTTGTACACAAGTACTTTGAGGTGAACACTTTCCTGCTGTATTGGTCTGGTATTGATTATTGTTTTGTCTCGTGTCCCTTTAATTGTATTGATTGCTTCTGTAGAGATGAATTAAAACTTCAAGTGATGACGACAAAGATAAAGTCTATCCGTAACAAGTACCGGCAGGCGGTTGATTCTGGAAGGCGAAGTGGGCACGGCAGAGTGGTGTTGCTGTATTTTGAGCTCTGCGAAAAGCTCTGGGGTGGCTCACCAGCGACAAATCAGATTTCAACAAGAATCGAATCTTCTGTTCAGCAGGTTGATGACGATCCTGCAGAAGCAGCAGCATCAGATGACTCTTCTCCTGAGGCATCGGCAACTCTGGACACTCCCGAGGCTGATGATCTGCTACCCCAGAGCACGGCGCATGAACGGAGGAATCTTCTGACAAGCCAGCTCACAAACCATCGGCATGAGCGCCTGAAGAGGAAACTCCCCGCTGATCGGCAGCTGATTGCGGTGGCGCAGGAAGAGTTGGATCTGAAAAGAAAATTTATGGAGAGTGCGCAGCAAGATAGAGAGGCCACAACCAAGCAGCTTGCTTCCATGTCTGCGAATCTGGAGACCCTCACATCCAGCATTTCAGCTGGATTTGGCTTGCTGTCTCAGGTGCTCGCACAGAATTCTGCCCAGCCCATGCAGCAAACGCAGCCCTGGCCAATGCCGTTAAGTTGTGTTCCGCTTGATGCGCGCGATTGTCGTCCTCGCCGTGGTCGTCCTCCAAAATGTGCTGTCCAGTCCATCGGTGGATCTTCCTCTTCCCGTGAAGATGTGACTGCATGCCCGTCCTCCTCTGCGTGTGTAGGACACGGGCCAGCTGAGAACAGCTTAAAAGATGGTGAAAGACCGACACGTAAGCCACCGAAACTGACAAAGGATCTGTCGGCGTCGGAAAGGGTGACGAGAAGCCAAGTGAAAATACGGACTGGTGAGGACGAACGTACAACGACAACGGAAGTGACAACAACAGTCAATATTCGAAAACGTGGTAGACCGCGAAAACTAACCTCAATATCGGACACCGGACAAGTTGGAGTAAGAAGCTCAATAGAAATCCGCAATGGAGGAGACGTAGCTGAAAGGACACTGGGTATCGCGCACCCAACGGTTAGTGTCAAGAAACGTGGAAGGCCGCGGAAACGCGAAGAGACGGATAGTGGTGATGCCACGAAGAGGCGAGATGACGGGACATTGGAGGAGACAACACCCAATGGAGCTAAGAATCGCACTTCGTCAATCAAACAACATCTGTCAGCCCGTACCAATTGTCGTGAGTTGTACAGTGATAATGTTTTCTCAATACTGTCACGTGGTAGATGTGCGTTGCATTTGGCTGTGTTAGAAGCTTTGCATATCCGTAAGTTAGATCCTGAACTTTGCGTACAGAAAGAAAATGTGTTGTCGCTACAATTGTTTGGTGTTACTCCTCGTCGAGGTGGTAACAATGTAACTTAATTTGCTCACTATGTTGTTGTCACTGTTATTATTTTCCTTCGAGTTTTGTGTCGTGCTTAACTTGATAATTTTCCACCTTGTCACGAGTGTTGTTATCTAATTATCTTTACGCTATATAAGTTTTAGTCTTTCCAACTTGAGCCAATCCCTGTATAATCCTTGATGAGAAGGGACCGAAAACGTTCGGATACTTATGACAAGTGCCTTATTATGACTGGATGTGTGTTTGCGTGGATACTTGCGACCCATAACTTACCTTCGTTTTAAAGTATTATCCGCCTCCGACCTCTTTTAAAAATTATTATTATTATTATATGCACGTACGCGTTGCTGAGGCCCCCATTGGATGGAGGTTGCCCAGGTTCGCATGTGCCAAACTGATTATGCCAACGCCTCATGACGAAAACATACAGGTTTAATTGATACAAAAGAGAAAGACCAAGGAACTACAAGTTACGCTATACTGTCCACTAAGGCCACCAGTTACTAAACAATCAGCTCATGCGATAACATTGCATTGCACTTGTAGTAACTGGCCTTTCTCCACCTGCTCCCAGTCCCGTGCCATCTCCACACTTATTCCAAAGGGACGACGATAACTACATTTAGAAGACTGTTTATTGACATGACGACGAAACACAACCAGACAAGACGAACTCAAGACGAAGACATGATGAACTCAAGACGAAGACTGCTTTTCATAGTACAGCAACACGCGCAGTCTCTCCGGAGACGCCCGGAGACTGTACGGAACGTACTATACGATATGGTAAATCTATCGATATACGGTACATACGGTATGATACGGTAGAAAGTCCGTCTACTACACTGCTCCCCTCTCAAATAATTTTCCGTCCTCGGAAAACAAATAACATAACACAAAAATTAATGTATACACTGCTGCCTCCTCAAAAGGCTGAATCGTTCCTGATTCAAAAAATAATAACAGAAGAAAAATAGATCACACTAGCCACGCGAGCATACCACACCAATCACCCAAAAATGTATCGCAGCAAAACACAGCAGCCAGAGACCATCTGCCATTCACGCAGGACCTGATAAAACACAAATACCCTGTCTGCCCACCAACCAGACCTTCAGCTCACGCGCTGGAACACAATCGTGGGAAATGCATACAACATCACACTCGCGCCACCTCACCAATCACGAAAAAATTCTAAAATGTAAGAGGGCAAAAAAAATAAAAAGAGAGTAATAAAGTGAAACCCACGAGCTGCGATCTGTGGAAGCGGCTTTAGTACTCATCATCTCGGATGAAGAGCAAATAAGAAAATGACCCTCGTCCTCGAGGAGAGCAACTGGTAAATAAACGAAAAAAATTGAAGAGAACAGCAAATACAAAACTCACGCCGTCTACCATGTCGTCCGCCATCTCAAGGAATGCTGCTCAGCGTCGACATTCTCACTTCTGGGCACAGTTTTACGTCGTGTCCGGGACCATCCATCCTTCTTTTTCTTTTCCTTTTCTTCTGGGCACAGTTTTACGTCGTGTCCGGGACCACCAGTGACGACGATTGACAAGAGACAGGTGAGACGAATGATGCAGGACGAAGACGACGGACGAACTTCTTGGTGCTCTGACGATAGGACGACTGGAGATGACATCGGAACCTGGGAGCGAAGGCCACGCAGGACGAATCCAGAAGTTGATGTTGACAACAAATTTCTATCACCGCTGCCACCAATGTAGTAACTGGCCTTTCTCCACCTGCTCCCAGTCCCGTGCCATCTCCACACTTATTCCAAAGGGACGACGATAACTACATTTAGAAGACTGTTTATTGACACGACGACGAAACACAACCAGACAAGACGAACTCAAGACGAAGACATGATGAACTCAAGATGAAGACTGCTTTTCATAGTACAGCAACACGCGCATGCACCAACATAACGTACACACGACGTACACAAAATAACGTACTATACGATATGGTAAATCTATCGATATACGGTACATACGGTATGATACGGTAGAAAGTCCGTCTACTACAGCACTGACCGACGGTACTGACTTTCTACAACTAACTGGCTAACAGCTCTAGCACATCTTGGATGCGCACTCCAAAAGCCTTCCAACTTGGAAGGTTCTAAGTTATAGAAATAACATAAGGAGGGGAAGGGGAGCGCAACCAAGATAAGCACGAGCTGAAAGTCTCAGCTGTGAAGAATGTTATCGCATGAGCTGATTGTATAGTAACTGGTGGTGTTAGCGGATAGTATAGCATAACTTGTAGTTCCTTGGTCTTTCTCTTTTGTATAAACTAGGTTTGAAATTAGTCGATAAGTTGACTGGACAGTTGATTGTGTTCAGTGGTTTTAATTAAAGCCATCGTCAAATCACACACACACACACACACACACACGATAAAGCTGAATGTATACTCCCAGACATATAGCTGTAGGCCAGAGACTTGTACTGCGATTGCAGGCCATGCACTGTGAAGAACACTTGAATACTGAAACCTACTACGTGTTTGAAGTTTACTTTGCTTGTGCATGGGTACGTGACCATGCATGTGCATGGGTGTATGCGAAATATCCTGTCATTGTGCTCATGTGTAAGGGTAAAGACATTTGATAATATCATTGAATCTAGTCAATTTTGAGATTTTGATTTTGAGATCTTGATTTTCGGAGAGACAGCGAAAGGGAGATAGAGATAGAAAGGGAGAGAGAGAGAGAGAGAGAGAGAGAGAGAGAGAGAGAGAGAGAGAGAGAGAGAGAGAGAGAGAGTGGGAGAGGGAGAGAGAGGGAGAAAGGGAGAGGGAGAGAGAGAGAGAGGGAGGGAGAGAGAGGGGAGAGAGAGAAAGAGAGAGAGAGGGGGAGAGAGAGAGGGAGAGAGAGAAATAAAGAGAGAGAGAGCGAGAGCAAGAGCAAGATCGAGATCGAGAGAGAGAGATCAAGAGAAATAGAGAGATATAGAAAGATAGATAGATAGTAAGAGAGAGAGAGCTAGAGAAAGACGGAGAAAAATAATTAAAGGGGAAGAATACCCTAAAATCAAATTTTCACCAGTTGTAGTCTTCTGGGTGCTGAGTCGAATGGTCTTGGTCCGAGGAAGCTGCGACGCTCCCTTCCTACTTGAAACCCAATCGAACTCACGCACTTCCACCGAAACTGGGTGACTGCGCCCTACTAGATGGGGATTTGTATGCAAAATGTCACTAAAAGCGCCATTTCGTTCTTATAAAAGCATGGATGACTGCTATTGGCCCATATGTTGTAGTCTTTTGGACGCTGAGTCGACTGGTTTTGGTCCGAAAAGGCTGCGATGCAGCGTTCCTCCTTTATTCCCAATCGAACATGGTTGAACAAGCGGTCACGTGCTCCTGGGTGCCCAAATCACCTGGTCACCGCGCCAGCAGGCGACAACTTTTACACCAAGGTTCAACTCGAGTTCAACTCGAGTGACAGGACTGCACCCAAAAAAGGTCAAACAGGCTAGTAAGTTGTACCCTGCAGGCACGGTGACCAGGTGACTGGTGTACGCAGAAGCACGTGACCGCTTGTTCAACCATGTTCGATTGGGAATAAAGGAGGAACGCTGCATCGCAGCCTTTTCGGACCAAAACCAGTCGAGTCAGCGTCCAAAAGACTACAACATATGGGCCAATGGCGGTCATCCGTGCTTTTATAAGAACGAAATGGCGCTTTTAGTGACATTTTGCATACAAATCCCCATCTAGTAGGGCGCAGTCACCCAGTTTCGGTGGAAGTGCGCGAGTTCGATTGGGATTGAAGTAGGAAGGGAGCGTCGCAGCTTCCTCGGACCAAGACCATTCGACTCAGCACCCCGAAGACTACAACTGGTGAAAATTTGATTTTAGGGTATATATAGGAGAGATGACAAGACGAGTCGGTGAAGAAGGAAGGAGAAAAGCAAGACACATCTGCAATATCTTTGTTTGATCAAAATGAGCTGAGCTGCTGATACGAAGCGTCGACCAAGCATCCCTGACTGGAGTGAATGCCCCAGCTGGCCTCTCGTTTGTCAGTGGTTGCCGATGGACGTTTTACTATCACACTCACGACTACAAGTTTCCTGGTGTGCATCGACATCGGCATCAGTGGGGCCTCCCGCTGTCGATCCTGTTGACGGGCGGACAGGTCGGTGTGAATCCTGAACGGCAACCGAGCCTGTCGCGTTGGGGGATCTCGGCGGTGAGTCTCGCCTGGCCTGCATACATGGACATTGCAACATCATAATAATAAACAACATACATGTACTTTCCTTTGGCATCAGTATTCCGCGTAAGATTTTCGTCGCCTGTGTGGTGTGTTTCTCTACCAATGAGCGCGTACTATGATTATTTATCGCTGTTCTCACACTTTACCATTTTAGCAGCTTGCATATGCCATTGATATATGTGGAAAGCGCGCACTTGCGCCATTTCTGGTGTATAAGAATGATCATTCCTCCATTATCATCATTATCATCCTCTACTGATGAGCTCCGACAGGGAGCGAAACAGCTGTCTAGAGGCGTGGAGCAATAATTATTATCTCTCAACGGAAGTGTCCTTGCTGGTGTCTGTATGGTTCGGCTGAAGAGCGCGTGGTTGTGATGAGTTGGGAATGCAATGAATTGAAAATATGGCCGAAAGCTCTGTCGCAATATTAAATTTTAGTTCTGAAGGTATACTTCCCCTTTAAAAAACGGTTAGTTTCTGGTGATGTACATTCGGTTGAGGAGAAGGTGAGGGGAGTGACGGTACCACGATCAACATGCATGATACTCGCAGCATATTCAATTTCTTTCTATTTTTGTATTCAAAGAGAAGGAAAACAACTGGCTTGTTGACGTACGACCCAGCATTCACTGTTAGAACTATGTGGCTATATTTGGATAAACATTTGACCAGTATACGGTATGTCTGATCTTTTCCCCAGCTCTGACGGACAAGTTTTGTTTAAGTAGCTGTAACACTATACCTGAAATGGAGACAACTTGCCCCAAACACTACACATGTGTTGGTTTGGTGTTTAATTATACATGTGAACGTAAGTAGAAACCCAGCATCAGAACTACTAAAGACGAAACTCCTGTGCATTTAAATCCAAACTTTTGAACACAGTAAAACCTGCCTTCACTGTACTCCCATGGTGGAGGAGAAACTTTTTTGTTTTTTTTTGTTTTTGTACGAAGTCTGTTGTACGGGCAAAAGTAATAAACCGATATAATCATGTCATGAAAATACAAAAGATGACCAAAATGATGCAGGAGAAAACTGCCCTCATATGACAAGATTTGCGTGATCCAGGGGTGACTGTTTGAACCACAGGGCTTTGGCTTATGACAATTCGTCCGATCAATACAGGATTCCACTTGGCACAGGGTCCGGCGGACACAGGCTTTTTACTGTACAAACCTCATGTCCAAGATGCGCTCTCGGCACATAGTGCTTACTTAGACAGTTGTCTAATGTCCTCAGGCTGTGTACAGTGCTCTATGCCCAGTGGACAGAGCCTGAAATACAAATATTACACAGCAATGAAGCAAACAAATATTTTTTCTGCTGACAGCGGAAAAAAGATTTGTTTGAACCATTGCGGTGTAATATTTGCAGTGTTTACTTATATAGCTCATGGCAACTATTCTTTAGGGTAGCTCGATACTAAGTCACAATCTGGTCTTCTAAACATAGCCTTGGTTGGCTGTAAAAACACAGCAATCAGCACTCAAAGTTGTCATAGGCTGCCCCAGCCATGTATTGCTTGGCATAAGACGAAAACTTCTGCGCAGGTCATGAGTGGAAATATGATGACTTTCCGCCGCTCGTGGGTTCGAACCCCCTTGTAGATAACTTTCTTCTTCTTTTTCCATTGGGGATTTGATTGAAATACCCCATTTCCAATTGTAAAGGAGGCTTTACAGCTGTGATTTTCCCAATATTCCATTATAGTCTTTTGTTTTCCCGGCTCAGGAAGGGTGTGACTTGACATAGAAGCAGCATGCCCACCTCAATTCCCCCTCCGCCACCACTACACCCTCTTCCAGGAAGCAAGTGCTACTAAGCCACAAACAAATATGTCAAGTTTATCGATCTTTCTGACCAATGCATTCAGTCTCCAGTCCAAGTTCGGTGAGCTACAACATGCCATCCGTTCTTATCGCCGTGACCACGATTTTTCTTCTTTTTCTTCTTTTTCTCCTTTATTCTTTTTCCTTCCTTCTTTTCTCTTCTTCTTTTGCTGAGAGCCTTCTGTTCCCCTATTTTCTTTTCATCTGTGTCCCCATTCCTGGGTTACTTGGACTTCATTCGCTTCCTTGTCATTGGACATGTTCAGTCCGTTCGGTTTGCGAATTCAAATAAACACAACCAACCAACCAACCCAACCATCTGTCAGCAAACTGTAGACATTGCCATATTAACTGAGACAAAACGCACTGCCGAGAAAATGTCTCCTGCTCAAACATTAACCCTTTGAGGCCCACAGTATGGATATATCCGTACCAGTGTACAGTGCATACTTTTCAAAGCGCAGCCTGGCGTAACTCGGCCGTCCCTTGACCAAATCGGACCATAGGAAGGTCTATCGACATTAGAATTGTCTCAGCTATCAGCTCGAAAAAACCCGAAGGCGATCCAACGTCGGAGAGCGGAGTTATGAGACTCGAGCTAAATTCGCTCAGCAGAGTCACCTCGGGCGCGTGCATTTTGAACTCGTTTTTGGGGGTTTTCCCTGACTCGCGGCCCACACAGCCACAGATAGTTTACGTCATCGCAAAGGCATGTTTCTCAGCTCTCATGTAAAAAAAATTGAGCAATCTGCGATACATTTTGTTGAAATGGCAGATAATTTGAGTTGGGTGCTCGCAATGCTGGCTTTGGAGCACCCAATCGCGCTGCGACGCTGGTTCTGCGGATTCCTTGATGGATTTCAGGGTAACGCTGTGTTCCTCTGGCCAAGAGCTTTCCAGAAAGCCCAAGATCACCAAGATCACCAAAAGCGGCCAAAGGACACCAAAGTAATGACCAGTACCTGGGCTGGCGTATGCAGTGCATTCCTTGAAATAATTGTGGGCCCTAAAGGGTTAATACCCGGATACTGCCCTGCAGTATGCAAGGACCGCACTGCACATGGAGGCGTTTTTTCCACGGTTCACGTCAGAATCAGTTAGAGGCCCAGTTTTCTGCATCTGTAGGAACGCCACCACCGTTCAGTCTTATTGAGTATCTTGAGGAGACCTTGCTCGCTGTCCGGCACCTCGGTGACTATGTTCTGATCATGGGTGACTTCAATGTCCACAACACCGCTTGGCTGGGCAGCACCAAAACCACTGCTGCTGGGGAAGCCTTAGAGGAGTTGTGCGCTTCGCACTGCCTCACCCAACAAGTCTCCGAACCAAACCGCAAGAACAACACACTGGATTTAGTGATATCCGACCTCCCAGGTCCATTCATCCGTCACCACTGGTCCGTCGCATCTTAGCTGCACTGATTGGCCAACTGTCCTGTCAAATGACCCTGACGCTGCGGGTGGAGCCCTCACAGGAACTGTGCGTGATGCCATGTCTCAGCTTATTCCCTGCAAGACCTTAAAGTAATATCCTCTGACCCGGTTTGGTGGACATCTGCCTGCCAAAAGGCTGTGCACCTAAAGCAACAAGCCTGGAGAGTTTGGAGGCAGGACCCTGATAGCTTGCAACAGAAAGAAACCTTCCTGGCATCCGTTACACATTGTGTGCATGCTCTGCAACATGCCCAACAGCAATGCAAGGAGCAAGCTTCTAGAAAGCTGTCATCTGGTTCCTTGCAACACAAGCAATGGTGGACAGCTATTAACCCTTTGGGTACCAGCTCCACTGGTGCTCCACTGGTGTTGGGCTGACTGCTCAGCAAACTTTCTCTCTCCCACTCTATTGCTCTAAATCTTTACTATCTCCCAACCTTTCTGTCACAGCCTGTCAGGCTACCCGTGCTTTGTTTCCGCGTGCCGAGCCTTCGCGTATGGCTTTGAGAAACGCTCGTATCGCGACGTTCAATGTTCGTGGACTGTGTTCGAACTCAAAACAGCAACAACTCGCTCGTGATTTACAAACGTATCGCGTCGACTTCTGTGGACTTCAGGAGCTGAGAGCAAAGGACCCGTTCGACAGAAGCATTAGTAAAACTCACAGGCTAGTGAGCTTTGGCCTGACAGACGACAGCCATGGCGGAATTGGCTTCGCTGTTTCCAAAAAATTCGAACCGTGCATTTCAAAAATCAAAAAACTGTCGGACCGAGTGGGCTATGTTGACCTATCGTTTCCGCAAGCCAAGAACTCATCACTGCCAGTTCGGTTTGTTGTGGCACATGGACCCACGAACCCAAGGTCGAAGGAACAGCCTGAGCTCAGAGACCAGTTCTACGACGCACTATCTTCCGCATGGAATGGGACAAGCAAACGAACGCTTGTCATCGGAGTGGGGGACTTCAACAGCAAAGTTGGCAGCGCTGTCACCTCGTGTGTTGGAAATTACAGCAAAGGGACCCGCAACGAAAACGGCCAGGCGCTCGTGGACTGGGCAAACTCTCACCAGTTGTTGCTAGCCAACACAGTATTCCGCTATTCAATGCGCTACCGAGCAACATGGACTGGACAGGTTAGAGACAGCAATACGAATCGTACTAAAAAAATCTACAACATGATCGACTATGTGGTGGTTCCATCGCATTGTAAGCCCATCATTAACAAGGCCCGATCGTATGCTGGTACAGAGGTGTTCAGCGACCACAAGCTAGTGATCGCTGACATGCTTTTCTGTGAGCTATTCAAAATCTTCCAAACAAAATCAAAAAAGGAGTCGCCGTATGCTGTCCATGGATTAATAGATGGCTCCCGTAGACCGGAATATCGCTCGGCTCTTCGGGCACACCTTCAAGTAACTCCGGCAAGTGATGCTCCCGCTGATGTCTGGTCAGCTGCCACATCTGCGATCAAGTCTGCAGCAGACACCGCCATTGGTCATCTGCACCGATCCGAAGCTAGGAACCGTTTCGTTCAACCAAACGCACAGGTTGCTCGGCTTTCACTGCGGCAACGGGAACTGCGAATATTAGCTGAGTCCGGACACCATGATGCTGCGCAGCTGAAGAAGGAGCGCAATCGTGTCATGCATGAAATCCGTAATATCCAACGGACCGAAGCCAACTCTCGCCTGGACAGAATTGCCGAGGCGGTTGAGAGCGCTCCAACCTCCGCGCAAATGTTTATAGCAGCCTCCCAGCTCAAACGTGGCAAGCCGCAGCAGCTCTTCGTCGAGTCGGCTGATGGTCACATCCTCATGCGCGATGAGGAAAAGGCATCTCGCATACGTGATCACTATCAGGGGCAGTTCAACACTTCTGATGACCTGCTGCCACCGCCAGCTCCGCACACACTGGAGATGCCCGTTTCCACCGAAGAAGTAGAGGCGGCTTTGAGACGACTGCGAAATCAGAAAGCATGTGGGCCGGATGGTGTATGCGCAGAACTCCTCAAATACGGTGCTGAGTACATCTCCCCGATCATCACCACCATGATCAACAACAGCATCACCAGGGGCGACCACCTGTGTAGTGTTATTGGTCCAGGCATATTGATACCGTTACCAAAACCTAACAAGGCGCGGGGACCAGTTGCAAACCTGAGACCGATTGTATTGCTGAACACCCTGCGCAAGGTCATTTCACTCGTTGTGCTCAAACGTATCACACCACGTGTGTCGCATTATCTTGGATCCACTTCGTCTGGTTTCAGGCCTGGCCGTGGCACTGCCGATGTGGTGTGGACACAGCGCTGGATTTCGGCTAAGGCCACCCACTTCGTGTGGGATTGCCACGTCCTTGGCCTCGACATGTCGAAAGCATTCGACACCATTAGCCGCACAAAGCTCCTTGCTGTTATGTCAGAGATTACCGGACCTGACGAGGCTTGCCTGATTCACCATTTGCTGTATGGTACAACACTCTCTGTGAAAGTGGGTGCCAATTCAGCGGAGGCGTTTGTTAGCACGCTAGGTACACCACAGGGTGATGGGCTGAGCCCGGTTCTGTTTGTTTGCTATCTGGAAGCAGCACTGAGGGAGACTCGAAGCAAACTACCACCACGGCCAGACACTGATGCAGCAATACCACAGGAAACAGGATATGCCGATGACATTTCCTTCTATTCGACTGAGCGACAATGGCTTGCCAACTCCCTACCCGTGATAGCTGACGGCCTGGGTGACTGGTCACTCAACGTTAACAGCAGCAAAACAGAGTGGCTTCACATCTCTGCCTCCACCACCGAATGGCGAAGATCGAAGCAACTTGGCTCTCTCTTGGGGGAAGAGGAGGACTTGAGCCGACGAATGGACCAAGCATCAACATCGTATGGCCGCATGTATTCGCTCTGGATACGACGTCAACTTGTATCCGAGGAAACCAGGCTTCGTCTCTACAATGCCATCGTCCTACCAACACTGTTATACAACTGCGAAACCTGGGGACTGACAGAGGCTGCACTGGAGAAGCTGAACGCCTTCCATAGACGTCAACTACGGAACTTGTTCGGAATTAGGTATCCCGCCATCATCTCCAACAAAGACCTATATTCCAGAGCACACACACAGCCACTTTCGCACACCGTTGCTGTCCGCCGTTTCCGGATGTTGGGTCATGTTCTGAGGATGCCCTCAGATGCCCCGCCACAGCAGGCAATGGACAACTACTTCCGTCGAGATGTCACCGGTGTGCGTGGACGCCCGAAATCGAACCTGGCCACGGCAGTCAAGGCAAGCACAGCTGCCAGAGACATGCCACTGAAGACCATGACTGATCTGAGTGGGCTCAGAATGCGCGCTTTGGACAAGCAATCATGGAGGGAACTCTCAGCCTGAGCTGGTTTTGCTCGCGGCTGCAACGCACGGGGTAGTGAACCCAGGACAGAAGCGGACCAGGCATCATGACTTTGCACATCTATCGTTATGCTGCTTCATTACGCGACCTGTTTTATTATTATTTATTATTATTACCAGCTCCATGGGTACCAGCTCCATCTCGAACGGTTCCATATGGTACGGTTCGCTGCACTCCAATCAAGCGTGCCGTTCCCCGCCGCCGTAGCTGGTTGTTGGTTGTGTTTACTTCCTCCGCGTCATCGAAATTGTCGCAGTTTGACTAGTGACTTGTCACTTGTTACTGACAACTCCATAAACTAAGCCATTCAAAACTTATTACACAGTATGATAGTCTGAAGACTAGAGTAACGTTCCAGGACAATTGGACTGAGAGTTTTCATGCAGAGATGAAGTCCTCGTCGTCACTGATGTCAATGGACGCAAAAATATCGTTCCGAAATATTTCAAGGAAGGTTGAAAGTTGGTCGCGCCTCATCTCAAACGCTTTGACTTTCTCCACAGGACAAGAGCTGCTATGCTTGTCGTCTGCTAGGTCTGGATGATTTCTACTTCACCACCAACGAAGCCTAGTAAGAATACACGATCGTTGCGAGGTCGGTTGATTACCGTCGGCGGAATCACCTCGGAATCACCTCGATCTTGAAATGAGCGTTTTTTAGCCGTGGCATGCCCACAGCTCATGCAGGTAAGTGTAGTATCACGTCCAGCGCGCCCTCTTTTTCAGCATCACTGGTATACCATGGTACGGGACCTGCGCGTGCATCACTAGCACTACGTGTAGAGTCTACACGGCTCTTGCATGTACAATCATGTACTAGTACTGAGTGTCTCAGCCAGAGCGACAAATTTTATCGCTGTTGCAGGCATTTAGTTTGCCGACCCCTCGATGTTTCTCCAGGCGCTGCCACTTGTTCCACGAAGTCATTCTCACCCCAGCTAAGGTAAAACAGTGATGGGGCTTGAGTGAATGGCCATAAGCACGAGAAATGTGCAGGCTGCAACGCCTGACCGATCTCATCGAGTCGAAATTACCAGCGCAGCGACATCAGCGAAGAAATTGCGTCTAGTTCAAAAATTCCAGCTTCCAATAACAGAAAATAGAACTTTGCCGTCACCCTATACTGATGACTATCGCCTATGTCCGATTCCTTGCCTCTGGTAGGAGTGCTGGTGAGTAAATACCGCGTTTTACACCAAAAGTCAAACTGCGACAATTTCGATGACGCGGAGGAAGTATTTGAATTCGCAAACCGAACGGACTGAACATGTCCAATGACAAGGAAGCGAATGAAGTCCAAATAACCCAGGAATGGGGACACAGATGAAAAGAAAATATGGGAACAGAAGGCTCTCAGCAAAGGAAGAAGAGAAAGGAAGGAAAGAAGAATAATAATGGAGAAGAAGAAGAAAAATCGTGGTCACGGCGAGAAGAAAGCTTTTAGCAAAAAGAGAAAGGAAAGGATGAAGGAGAAAATGGGGAGACACATCGTGGTCACGACCAAAGCCGGGGTAGTGGCAGGACACAGTAGACATAACAACACCAGGAACAAGCACGCATGAAGCATGGGCCATGCCAGCCCAGAAGCGGGAGACACCGACAGGAAGAGAGAAGAGAAGAGAAGAGAGAGAAATCGTAGCTCTGATCGACTCGCAATTTTTTGCGCTGGATGGCTGAGATCCCACTGAAAATTTTGATGTTTAACATGGGTAGGTTGCCATTTGAAAGTATGGAGAACGAACGCGTTTAAAAGTATGCTTTTCAGCGCAAACAATTTTCGCTATTTCGATCGTGTTCTCGCTCAGATTCGCTGCTTGTAGCGTAGATGTAGCTTGTTCCAGGTAATGTCAACGTCTTCTAGATGTGATGGACGCTTGGAGAGATCAGCTGTGGCGATATCATCGCGGAATACGACTCGAAATTGAAATTTGTATCGCTGATCCCATCGCAGTATTCGCTCTCCAAACCGGAGCAAGAGTCTTCTCTTCCACTTACCTTACCCTGGATGGGAGAAAAAATTAATGTTGATTTCGAATCGGACATAATAATTCAAAATATGCAATTTTGAACCAATTGTTTCACCTCAAATAATTATGTGACAATATGACCAACTTGGTGTGTACATGGTACATGCGTGTTTGTGTGTGTATGTGTGTGTGTATGTGTGTGCATGTGTGTATGTGTGTGCATGTGTGTATGTGTGTGCATGTGTGTATGTGTGTGTATGTGTGTATGTGTTTGTGCATGTATGTGTACATTGTGTGTGTGTGTGTGTGTGTGTGTGTGTACATGTGTGTGTGCATGTGTGTGTGTGCATTGTGTGTGTGTGTGTGCATGCGCGCATGTGCGTGTGTGTGTAGCGCTACCGAGAGTATATGTATCAGCGGCAAATGAGACTACGGTGCATCGAGCGGATACTCCACTAACACTAATATTTTGGGCAACTCACGACCCCAGACCAAAGGTCAAGCTCGAATTTGAAGGTGCCACAATTTGGGAGCAAACCAATGAAACCATTCCTGATGGAGTTATCGATAATGTCACAATCACTGAATATCCGATAACGACACGAAATGCCAGTGGTGTGTATACACTAACTGCATCCAGTGCAATTGGAACTGTCGTGCTCAAACATAGATTAATCATAGTTTGTAAGTTGAATTCTTTCTTCATATTAGTGATTGCTAGGAACCAAATCGAATAGAATCAAACCAACCTGCAAAGGTACATCTTACAAGTTGTCCTGTGGAAGATGAAGAAGAACTTGAAACCAATTTGTTCACCGAAAGCCTCACTCTAAAATTGTTTGTGATATTACCTTTACCTCGATCATACCCCAACCTTCATTTCTTACTGAATCTCTACAACAATCCTTATCCCTACCCCTAGCTCTAACCCTATCCCAACCCATGACCCTTCCCTAACCCCTAACGTAACCCCTAACCCACCCCTAAACCTTCACCAGGCAGGCACAGTGTGTTGGTCAAAGACCATGATTGAGATACGAGAGGTACCTGCTTCAAGTCCTGCCTGGGAGCGGTTTTTTCCAGCCGTGCTGCTACCCACAGTCAACTGGGAACTTGTGGCCAGGCACAAGGGATACATGGATGCAGCTAATGGGGTCGTTTTCGGCACTTGTGCCAGTGGTTGTGAGACTTATCCACTCACCCCCACCATTAGGCGCTGCATCTGCCGCTAGAGTTTATCGGGTGTTAGCGGCCGTCGTGAGTTCCCTTCGGGAACGAACATGATAATTTACTTTTTTTAAACTTTTTAAACCTTCCCCTAACCCCACCCCTAACCCTACCCCCGCCCCTACCCCTACCCCTGCCCCTGAGCCTGCCCCTGAGCCGGCCCCTGACCCAGCCCCTGACCCTACCCCTGACCCTACCCCTGACCCTACCCTGACCATACACCTCCCCATAACCCTGCTTTAACCCTACTTCTAGCCCTAGCCCTAACCCTAACTCTAACTCTAACCCTAACCCTAACCCTAGCTCTAATCCAAGCCCTAGCCCTAAACCATTTCCTTAAGTAAAATCTACGCTAAAGCCTCAGCTTGCCCCAAACACCAACCCTAGTCCTAACCACCCTAGTGTGACAATAGCTTTGACCCTGACCTTGAAGGATTACATGCCTGGCTGACTAAGACAAGTTCTTCATCTAAACAGAGTCGCAGAGTACAAGTCGAAAACATGGCAAATGTTGAAGCACGGCATAGGTCCACTTCTGTTTGTGGCTGATAAATATTTGTGAGGTGTGAGGCAATTTGCTCTCACCTTGTGACTGAGGCCCTGCATGACTAGGCAAAGTAGTTTGCATGAATTCAACGATCTTCTGAGAAAAGCAGGCTCCTATGAAAGCTGATATGAGATGCCGTCCACTCTAAATTGACGACCATCATTGGAGATTTGAATTTGGATTGTTGAATGTCCCACTCACTGACTGTATATGATCTGGTTACGTTGGTGGACAGTTAGTTATAACTCGTAATATTTTGTCCTTTCTTTTAATCTGAAACTCGGATGTTGAGCCAATAATACATGTAGAAAGGAACCCTCTTTGGTCTTACCATAACCTTGAACCTTCCAAGTTGGAAGGCTGTCGGTTAGCGCTACGGAGATGTGTTGAAGCTAGGTGTCAGGACGTCGAATGTCTCAGTACTCTGTCAGTTTTGTGCCTAGTTGTTGCACTTTCTGACTGTATTATAGTATCTGGTTGCAGTGATGGAGAGTTACTCTCAACTCGTATCTATATTTCTTTCCTTTCTACATTTCTTTTAATCCATCATCATATGTGCTGATGAATTCTCAACAAGAAGTTGATCCATCAATAACGGGTATTCAGATCCGATCGAAATCACTGACTCTTATTCTGCCTCCACTCACACAATGTCAGCCCTGTGTAGACATCAGAACACTGCAGCTGACTCAGCCTACTGTCGACATCTCAATGTGTCACTCATGAACGTTTCGTGGAAGGGTCGAAAATTACATCCACGCAACTGATAGATCGTCAAGCTCTGCAGCGTTCTACTGTCCGCAGGAGTATCGGTACTAATATTGTACTGCGGGCACAGTCAAATTGTTTTGTTTCTTTTAGTTAATAGTTTCCTCTGAGACAAAAATGCGATAATACTCATAAAATGGACACACTTCAGGCTGTTTACGAACATCTTGAAAGTTTTTGGTTTCACAAGTATACGTTAAAGCCTTCTCATCAGGTGAAATACAGGCAAAGGAAAGGAACAGGAACAGTGGATTAAGTACAGTAAGGAGGTGGTAAAACAGCGCAAAGAAGAAGATAGCTAAAGTAAACAGCGAAAATGCGTGACCTATACACATAGCAATAATGACACAAAGGGGCAAATGTGAGAAAACTCAATAAGCGTGAAATGTAATGTGCGACAACAAGAGATTTTCATTTAGTTCCTTAGTGATTTCCTGGGAATTTTCGAAAACCATAAAAGCATAAAACCTGGCTGAATCTCTAACTCTTAAACCACAGGACCAATTGTTCCAAATCATGCACAGAACAATTTTCCACGACAAGAAAAACCTCTATTTTGATATTCGAATTCCTTTCATTTCTCTTCATTCATATTTTGGCCAGAATCTGATTGCTTGCAGTTATCTTGATATAGACTGTTGCGTCACGAAAGGAGTCATAATCCAGATCCAACGAACAACTTGGTACAGGTACTCATAGTGAGCAGACTATATACGGAGAGACAGACAAACTAAACGATTACTGTAAAAGCAGAAATATTCGGTGGTGTTTTATTTTTGGTAACTTCGGTGCCGACAATTTTTACCCAAAATAAAACGCACCGAAAATTTTGCTACTATCGATATACATTTAGTACTAGTACACTTACCTGGAAAACGGGTTTTACCGAAAATTTCCCTCCAGCCAACCGCCAATTTTGGAGAATACCGAAAATATCACACCACCGAAAATTTCTGCTTTTACGGTACATGATGGAAGAGAGCGACAGTTTGAGACCGCGAGTGCAAGATAAAGGGACTTGGTAGCCATGGCATACATGGGCGCGCAAGTAGCTACCGAGTCCAATGGAATAAAAGGTGAGCACATCAGGGCCAGTTGGAGGTGCGCGCAGGCCAGCTGGAAACGGTTGTAGAATGTACGGGAGCAGGTACCTTACAAGACTATAAAGTGAAATATTCTTGCGTTTTTGCTGGCAGCAGCGTTGTCGTATAAACGCACCCTTAGTACCTAACCACTTTTCACTCTGCATACACGTTTGATGTTGTTTTATGCCTAGCTGCACCAATCATCTCCAGCCCATCTGATGGCTCTAAAATTCACGTCCGAGAGTTCAGTGCGCCAATGATAACGTGCAATTCCAGCGGTAATCCACACCCCGGAATGGTTTGGCTGGGTCCTTCCATGTTCGAGTACATCCGGAGTCTTTCCGGCAATGTTGTAAAGAATGCCCTGGTCTTCCACTCCATATCCTATACTTTTCCAAGCATTACTCGTCTTGATGCCGGAAAGTATGTTTGTGAAGCCCCCAACTCTCAGGGGAACAGCAGTGTGACATTGGATATTGTTGTCGAATGTAAGTCTGCGCTCGAACATGTTGTTTGATGAGCTACCTTGAAGTTGTACTATACTATGTTGTTAACCCCCTGCTAAAAGTGCTCAATGCCGCAAGTTCATTGCTAACTGGTGTACGCTGACGTTGTATGTATGTATGTATGTATATATGTATGTACAGTTGTCTAAAGTCCCTAGACTGCTTACAGCGCTCAATGCCCACTGGACAGAGCAAGTAATACAAATATTACACAGCAATGAATCAAACAAGTCTCATTCCGCTGTAACTCCGAGGTTCGTGTCAAAACACTTCATCAGACAGCATATGAACAAGACTAAAAAATCACTAGAATATATACGGAGAAGGGGAGAAAGGGGCAAAGGTGATGGAGGTACATTTCAATAGCTCGAGGAAAAGGGATGACAAAATCAGCGTGATTATAAGAGGAAAAAGATGTTGAGAGTATATAGAGCATAGCCAGGGTAGAGAAACAGTGCGATTTTCTGGCAACACATCAGTACAGATTTGTGCTGCATTGTTACACATCAAATTGTGACCTAGGGTGGTAAAACAGGTGATGGTGGTTGTGTTGTGGGAATTACTCACGCCAGGCAAGCGGGTGACTACCACACCCGCCAAGGCATCGGGAACCCGGCGACAGAAGCCAAGACCCGCCAAAGCGCGTGAGCCATAAGCCCTGGGGAGTGCTCACCATTCCCGCGCCCGCGGAACCCAGCATTGACCGCCACCTCCCCGGCCCCGACGAGCAAAACAGCCACCCCCAGCCTGTATGTACTGTACTGATGTGTTGCCAGAAAACCGCGCTGTTTCTCTACCCTGGCTCTGCTCTATTATACTCTCAACATCTTTTTCCTCTTATAATCACGCTGATTTTGTCATCCCTTTTCCTCGAGCTATTGAAATGTACCTCCATCACCTTTGCCCCTTTCTCCCCTTCTCCGTATATATTCTAGTGATTGTTTAGTCTTGGTCATATGCTGTCTAATGAAGTGTTTTGACACGAAACTCGGAGTTACAGCGGAATGAGACTTGTTTGATTCATTGCTGTGTATATGTAAGTATGTACTCGTAGCTGTACTGATGAGGCCTTTATGGCCGAAACAGCTTGCTGTCTACAGCATTTCGTATCACGCTCCTCGGCTTTCGCCTTGTTGAGCACTCTCAGTAGGCTGCTATAGTGCTGCTGCATCGCGCAATGCCCGCTACATTTTGTAGTTTGAGCACTCTGGCGCTAGAGCGACGAGCTACCTTAATGTCTGTGGTGCCTCCTTTGCACCATGGCTGGTAGCTCGGCCTATTTAGCTCGTAGCTGTACTGATGAGGCCTTTATGGCCGAAACAGCTTGCTTTCTACAGCATTGGGTATCACGCTCCTCGGCTTTCGCCTTGTTGAGCGCTCTCAGTAGGCTGCTCTAGTGCTGCTGCATCGCGCAATGCCCGCTACATTTTGTAGTTTGAGCACTCTGGCGCTAGAGCGACGAGCTACCTTAATGTCTGTGGTGCCTCTTTGCACCATGGCTGGTAGCTCGGCCTATTTAGCTCGTAGCTGTACTGATGAGGCCCTTATGGCCGAAACAGCTTGCTGTCTACAGCATTGGGTATGTATGTATGTATGTATGTATGTATGTATGTATGCTGCGAATTGGGGATCAGCTCCTTGATGGTTTCCCTGTGGAAAATGGTATCCGGCAAGGCTGCACAATGGCACCGGTGTTGTTAAACATTTACATGTGTGCAGTCGTGGACCAGTGGCGGAATGTTGCTTTGACCAATCCGGAAGTCGGCATCGACGTAATGAGTCACCGCAGTGATCAACTCTTTAATGCAAGACTTAGCGCAGCCAGCTCCACATGTGCAACAGAATTCCAGTTTGCCGATGATGGTGCCCTCCTAGCCAAAACCTGGAATGGCGCCCAATCTGCTCTCCAGCTGTTCATTGATGTTGCCACCTCATCCGGGCTCAGGGTCAACGCAATGAAGACTAAATTCATTGCGGTTGGGACCGGAGTACACGAAACGGATGTGGCACCTCTGCGCACATCAGCAGGTGACGTGCAGCATGTCACTGAGTTTACCTACCTTGGTTGCCTCATAACACCTGATGGCACAACATCTGCAGACGTCACCCATTGCATAGCTGCAGCCTCCAAAGCTTTCGGACGCCTCTGTAAGCCAGTCTTTAACAACAGAGATTTACCGGTCTCCACGAAACAAAATGTATACACAGCCACTGTTCTCTCAGCATTGCTGTATGGCTCTGAAACCTGGACACCCTTGCAGTGGGATGTGCATCGTTTGGAAGTATTCCACAACCAATGCCCTTCGGGAACGGATTCGATAATTTACTTTTACCTACTTTATAAAGCTTGCGGACTATATTTGACATCAGGGGAAAGAGGCAGCAAGAGGAACGTTTGTCCTCATCCACAGTCCGAACGTGGTGGGGTGATACCGAGCTAGTTACAGAGAAGATTATTTTTCGCAGACCGACTTGGCTTGGTCATGTTATCCGCATGTCGCCCGAACGCTTGCCCCGGCTGCTCCTGTTCGGTTCACTGACCCAGACGCGACCTCAACACAAGCCCAAGAAGCGGTGGAAAGATGCAATCCGTGCTGACCTCAAGATGGCTAATGTCAAGGAGAGAGACTTGTGTGATGCAACCAGCTGCCGGAGTACCTGGAGGTCAGCATGCCGTGAAGCTGTTGCTTGCGCGCAACGCACCAGGACTGAGCATAAGATCAAGCCGGTCCTGTCTGACACCTGCGGCCGGAGTTTCTCTCAGCCCCGCTACATGACGTGTCACAAGTGCACAGTGGAGCGACCAGAGCCGGTGAGAGAGCAGTCTGGGACTGTTCAGTGTAATGCGTGCGGCCGCTGGCTCCTATCTCGTGGGGGCTTGGCGAACCAGCGGTGCGGCAATGATCCAGCTCATTCCCTCAGCCAGCCTCGACGGCAGCAACAACAACAACGAAAGCCGCCAGCAGTTCAAGACGGGCCAGGTTTGACGTGCCTTGTATGCCAGCGAACCTTCACGTCCATCAGTGGAAGGACTCGACACAAGTGCAAACTGACTGACATCCAAACTACAGTGGCACCACCCCTGGAGTGCTCTGCCTGTCACCGGACCCTCCGCTCGACTAGCGGCCGAACACGCCACCGATGCAGCAGAGTGACTAGTACCATTTGACTTGTCCCTTTGGGGACTGCGTAGCCAGACTTGGCAGCAGGATCAAGATCAAGATGTACATGTATGTATGTATGTACATGTATGTATGTTGTTGTTGTTTTTTTTACTATGTTCACATACCCCACTCATAAATGAATACAGAAGACAATGGTACTGAGACAAGGACAAACGTGACAACTACTGAGAAGGGGCTGCAACGAGGTGCAGCAGTGATGGTGGGGCATTGATGGCTCTGCCGACCTGAGGTCTCGGCATCACGGCCAGAAACACGCACCAAAAACAAAAGCTAGAGCTGCAAGGCCGTCACAGCACTTTTTTGGAAGTTTTTTTGTTCTTGTTTTTTTAGCACACTGCAACAAAGCGCGATGATCGCAGCTCAGCGCAAACGTGGCAAATGAAGAATCCTTGTCCCAGATCCCGATCCTCGATCCCCGTGGTTTGTTACAGAGCAGGGAGTCGTATAATACCAGGGAGTCGTATTTTACGACTCCCTTTTACAGAGCTATAAAAGAGTCTTTCATTGCAGTTGCAAATAAAATGGCAAATGCCTGGAAATGCTTTCAATTGCTTCAATTTTTGAAATTTCTCCTGGGGGAGGTTAATGAACTCTTCTTGGTGTGTTGCAGAATCGAAAAGTCTTCACTGAAATGGCACCAAATGCCCGGAAATGCTTGCAATTGGCTTTAATTTTTGACATGTTTACCACGGAGGGCCCCCGGACCCCCTTGCATGGCCGCCCCACCTCCAAAGTCGGTGCGACGTGCCTGAGCTGTAAGGGTCAGCAAAAATAAAAATAAAGCAAGGGCAAGCAACAGCTAGTACTAGTGTGCAGCGCATTCGTAGAAATGGGAGTCAATGACGGCGCACTAGAATGTAGGTGGGTCGACAGGCAGAATGTCTGTGGACCATCGCCAATCCTGTCGGCGGAGGTATTCGTTGACGTTGCACTTAAACTTTTGAAGATTTTTGCGAGTTGGGGCGGAGTCTAGAAAAGCTGGCGGCAGGGAATTCCACAGCTGGATTGCACAATGTGGGAAGCTGCAGAGAATGGTGTCTGGTGCTTGACGCGGTAGCGGATTTCGTAGCTGGTAACTGTGGCCGGCGGCCATGCGGAGATCGTTTCGAGTGCGAGTGGCGTCACGGGGCTCAAGCCTTGGTGGGAGGACTGCTAGCAATTGAGTCGGACCGGTGATGAAATGCAGTTTGTAAGTGTATGTTAATGCAGCAACGTATCGCCGTAGGCTGAGGCTCTGGAGCTCCGTCCCGGGACCAATGATGCGCAATGCACGGCGTTAGATGCTATCTAGGCGTGCAAGATGGGAGGGAGCAGCTCCCATCCAGACGAGCGGAGCATACTCCAAAACGGGCCGTACAAACCCCTTGTACACCGTGAGGCGGCCTTCTCGGGAGAGATAGGGCGCAGCTCGCCGCAGGAGGCCCAAGCTCTGTTTGCCACGTATAGACACTGCGCGGATGTGCTCCGCGAAGGACAGCTTCGGATCAAAAGTCACCCCCAAGAGCTTTATTGTGGATGACTCTGGCACAGGGTTGCCTCCAAAGAGGAGAGAGGGCAGGGCTAGCTGCGCTCTTTGCAGCGTGACTGTCATAGCCTGGGATTTCGACGGCTCAAACGCTGCACGCCATTCCTTGCCCCAGTCTGACAGACGATTGACGGTGTCCTGAAGCAAGGCAGCAGCAGTGGGGAGGTCGTTACGGAGAATAGTGTACAATGTCGTATTGTCAGCATAGGCTTCCAGCTGCGTGTTCCCAGCAAGGCATGTTGATACGTCGTTAATGTATACGAGAAACATGG